TAAATGGTGAGTTAGAGGAAGAAATTTACATGGAACAACCAGAACGGTTTTCTGTTCTAAGGAAAGAAAAGAAAGTGTGTAAATTGGTTAAATCATTATATGGTTTAAAACAAGTGCCAAAGTAATGGCATGAGAAATTTGACAAGGCAATGATATCAAATGGATTTAAAATTAATGAGTGTGACAAATGTGTTTATATTAAAAACACAGACAAAGGTTATGTCATTGTATGTCTTTATGTAGATGATATGCTCATCACATGTAGTACTAATGACATGATTAAAACTACCAAGAAAATGTTGAATAAATATTTTGACATGAAGGACATGGGCATTGCTGATGTAATCCTTGATATGAAAATTACCAAAACATCAGAAGGTTATGCTTTGTCACAGTCTCATTACATTGAGAAAATACTTGACAAATTCAGCAAAGATGATGATCATCTTGCTAGAACATTGTAGATGTTAATTTGTTTCTACCTAAGAATGCACAGGAAAGTATTTCTCAATTAGAGTATGCCCAAATTATTGGAAGCTTAATGTACTTGATGAACTGCACTCGCCCAAATATAGCTTATGCAGTAAGTAAATTAAGTAGATATACGAGTAATCCGGGAGTAGAACACTGGAAAGCAATTATAAGGATTCTCGTAACATTGGGCTGAATTTTACTAGATATCCAGTAGTACTTGAAGGATACTGTGATACAAATTGGATATCAGATACTAGAAACTCGAAGTCCACCAGTGGGTATGTCTTTACTCTTGATGGTGCAGCTGTATCTTGGAAATTTTCCAAACAGACTTGTATTACTCGGTCTACTATGGAATTAGAATTCATAGCTTTAGACAAAGCAGGGGAAGAAGCAGAATGGCTTCACCATTTCCCTGAAGATATTCCAATTTGGCCAAAATCAGTGCCTGCTATATGCATACATTGCGATAGTCAATCAGCTATAGGTAAAGCACAGAGTCATATATATAACGGTAAGTCACGACACATTCGTCGTCGACATAACACTGTGAGACAACTACTCTCTAATGGAATTATTTCCATAGAATATGTTAAGTCTAAAGACAACATAGCAGATCCACTAACCAAAGGGTTAGCAAGAGAGTTAGTTGAGAATTCATCGAGGGGAATGGAACTTAAGCCTATTAAATAAGAGTTACCACAACGGCAACCCAACCTAGTTGACTGGAGATCCCAAGATCTAAGTTCAAAGGGACAACTGAGTTGCGAATGACTCGGAAGGATCACTGGGGAGTCTAACTCCTACCCATTTCTATGATGAAATAGTGATGTCTGCAGCGTTTTAGGTTAAGTAAAACTTTTAATGATTCTTATATCTAGGTTAACCTAGTGGAGTATAACAGGATACTCTTCATAAGAATCACTTATGTGAGTGTGAACTGGGCCGGTTCTATGAGATTTGTGAAGGGTTACAATTCTCTAGAGCACTCATGAGAGACCAGGTTGTTCTGGGCCAAAATAAACACAATAGTGAGAACCAAACTGTGTCTGGGGATATACTGTGTAAGTTCTATTGTCTTGGTTTACACAAACGGCTGAACAGTTCAAGACATCATGTTCACTGGTTAGCTAGTAAATCCGATAGTGTCTCATAAGGGAAGGTTCAAAGCCAAAAGCTACCTATCCTTTGCAGAATATTTCCAATTTCTGTACTTTTTGATATTAGATTATGTTGTTGCATTTTCTCTCCGTCAAATTCCATTCATGTGGGGGATTGTTGGAAAAATGGTTTATATAGACATATTTTAGGCCAACTTTGAGCCCAAAATTGAGTGGGCCCCGAACGTATTTTGGGGCGAGTCCGAAGAGGTGAAGTGTTTCTTGCCGCGTGGCAAGTTACACGGTGAAAACGGAACGTCAAAACCATTTATGAGTGAATGAGAAGTTGACATCGTTTTCGAGTCTAACATTAATTTTATTTTAGACAAAATTCATTTGAATTTTTTCAATAAAAAAAAAATTATTGTGGGAATTTAATTTAAATCTAAATTCAAATTTTTGGGTTCCTGAGTGGTTTCCTAAAGTTTGTCAAATAGATTAATATTTATATTCCAAATAGTTTTTAATAAATTTTTTCAATTGAATTGGCTTTATTTGATTAAACTATTCTAATAGTTTAATAAGAAATATTCCAAACAGTTTTAAATTTTGTTCACTAACGGCTATGTTTTCAAAATTGTTTGGAAGGGAAAAAGAAAACTGTTCTATGTGATATAGGCAGAAACTGTTTGAAACAGTTTTGCACCTGTTCACTACATGTTTTGTACCTGTTCGGGTCATTTGTTTGCCTATAAACACAATTCATTCCAGCAGTGTTTGTGGACCCAAAATTTTAGTCTGCAATTCTTGCTTTTGCTGTCCAGATTTCTTTTAGTGCATTATTCTTCATTTTAGATTTAGGAATAAATATTCAGAGAGTTAGATCACAGGTTTGGTTCGCCGAACAATTTGTTTTGGAGTGCTACTACAAATTGGTTAAGATCATTGTATCCTGGGAGATAGACGCCACTCAACTGTAAGCACCGTAGCGGGGCGAATCTGTCTTAAGGACAGAGTGTCACACACTCGACTTAGTCTTAAAATTATTTATTCGGTTCTACAAAATAAATACTATAAGTTTTATTTTATTTTGTTTGGATTGTTTTAAAATTTATTATTATTTACACAGAAAGATTGTTCCACACATACTTAAGATGGGCCAGCCAGGCACCCAAGTTTGTGTTGGGGAGTTATGGACCAAGCAATGCTTTGCAATCAAACACTATGCGCGCCGCCGCAACGTCAGTTGGGCTAGTTGTGGGTTGGGTCCTACTTTAATTTTTTTTGGATAAAATTCATTAAAATTTTCAAGGTTCTTGCAAGAAAATTTAAATTTCCAAAATGAATTCATTCAAAAAACTTATGGGAAAAATTCAATTCGAATTTTTCTGAACCGGTGCCTTCTTCGGAGGTTTAACTTCGCACTTGTTCGAAGGGTTCTTCTAAATAGACACCACTATGTCTATAATATAAGGCTCTTTAGCAAATTCACACATTCAATTGCTTTCCCGTTTTCCTTCTTCTCTCATTTTTTCTCATATTAGTTTATAGAGATTTAAGAGAGTTGCAGAACTCAGAGTTTTGGTTCGTTGACAAACTATTTGTGGTACTACTACATTTTGTGTTCTTGATTATTGTATCATGCAAGGATAAATGCCATTAATAGTGAGCACTTGTGCGACGGCAATCTTTTTAAAGACAGATTGTCACACCACTCGACTTGTTAGTTTTTTTGTTCCATTTTTCGGTGAAGAAAAGATTTTGTAAGTAATTTATTGTTGTTTTGTTTTTTTTTTTTTTATTGTACACAAAGATTTTCCAACAATACATACTCTCACATTTATACACATTTTCCTTCATTATTTATAACTAAAAATAGTTTATTAAGTAGTCAAGAATAATATTGTGACATGTGTCGTGACACTTCTGATTAATGAAGGAGTAAAACGAAAATAATATCTAATCAATTATGATTCTCACCTAATTATGATTCAACAAGTTGTTTTTAGTTTGAAAATACCTATGTCAATATATCAAGTTTTTTAAAAAAATTACTTGCAGTCTCTTAGCTTGGTTTAATATTTAAAAAAAAAAAATGTAAGTAAGAACTATGAAAGTGTATAACATAACTAGACGATAATTGAATGACTAAAATGTTCAATATGTCTAATAAAAAAAAATGTTCAACATGTAATTTCTATTATAGAACAATTTTTTTTTTTAAGGTTTAGGCTAGGAGTATTTTTAGTCAAAAAAATTTGCCTATTTGACAATGGCTAGAGCTATGAGCATCAGCATAATCTCTATAATGGTTTTGAAGTCATTGTAGAGAGAAAGTTGTAAAAGTGTGATCCATCAGCCTCACTACACCGTTTGTATTTGTATCACATAACATCAATTCATTCCTTGATGAAGTGAGCCATGTTCATTCGCTACAAACAACGAATTAAGTGTTACCAGATGTCTACCCAGAAGTTCAGCCGGTCAACTTGTTAACGGCAATTTATTTTTATTTTTTTAAAGAATTGTTGGTAGGCATCATCAATTTAATAAATAAAGAAAAAAAAATAACAAATACAATAAGAAAATAATATTTTAATATAATTAAGTTAGAATAAGAGGGATTGAGTTAAAATAGAGATTTGATGCAATGAGTGACTAGCTAAAATAGCAAAATAGCTTTTTAAGCTCTAATTTGATTAAAATTTGAAGAGGCTGATCAAGATGCTCTTATTTAACTTGATGAATACATAAGAACGTGATGAATATAAATTTTGAGAAAAGTTTAAAAAAATAAAAGGAAGAAATTGTGGATACACTAGTTTTAAGAAGTGAATAGTGAAATTAAAACTTCACATTTAAATTATTTTGTGCTTTCCCGGTGAAGAAAATGAATCAAGGAGTGAATAAATTTTAGAATATTTAGGGGTTGAATTCTGAAATACATGGCTTTTGGGGGGGGGGGGTATATTATGCAAACTTCAATCGTTATCCATAGCGATTAGACATATACTTTGTACAAAATTAGCCTATTCGGCTACCGATTCTTACTTTGCAACTTTACAAAGAAAGCAGCGTCCCTCTCATCTCACCTGGCCGTGACCGAGTTACGTCACCAGTTATTTATTTGACTATAATACCCCTACATAGCAGATCGGGTCGATCCATTGCATCAAGGGCCAACCCGTAAAATCACGTGGTAGCGAATATTACTACGTCCTCTGCAGGTAATAAAAGAATGAGAAACGTTAACTAGAGCCGCGATTAGGTACTACAAGAACACTTTACACCCGTCATGATTTCAAATGCAGCCAACCACAGGAGCCGTTGATTACATAATTGACGGTGAAGACGACTGAGTACTCACAGTATAGTCGTGCATCCTCGCAAAGAGCTCTTCTACTTTTCCGTCACAAAACAAATCAGAGGGTCAGAGATAGAAACAAAAGAATTTCAAAACGACACAAATCCACTCTCTCTCTCTCTCTCTCTCTCTCTCTGCCGACATCCTAACGGTTCGCCGTCTCGTACCGGCGAAGGCGCTTGTCCGTACTCCGGCGACCGCCTCTCAGCCTTTACGCCGCCGTGATCTCTGTACTTCGCTCACATTTTCGGTTTATACGGTTTTTTTTCTTGTCAGAATAAGCATCGGAGGGTACTGATCGATTTCTCACTCTCAATTTCTTGTGGATTTTGATTGTTTCGAGTGATGAAATCGTTTTTTGCATAATGTAGTTGATTCGATTTTTTATTTTTTTAATTCGTGTAGCCGCATAGTATGGTTCGTCGATGGAGATTTTGAATTGTTTTTTTCTTGGCTTGCGATTTGATAGTAATATGGATTTTTTAGGTTGTTATTTGTGAGAATATTTTGATTTTTTTGGTTTGCTTTTGGGATTTTTGTATTTGATTTGAGTAGTTGTTGGGAATTTTTCGCCCTCGTTGATTGTGAGGTCGCAATGTTTGATAGATTACGATTCTTCTTAACTGATTTGATTTCGGTGTATATCTTTTGGTAATGCTCATCTTATGGCTGATCGAGCTGTTTTCTATATGTATTAATCCGCTTGGTTGCTAGAAAATGGAGGAAAAAAAGATATATCAAAGCTATCAATTCTCACTAGTTCCAAAAGATATTAGGATCAAAACAAAAAACACCCATTTTTTGTAATTAGAGCATAAAATGCTAGATTTTCTAGTTCCTTCTATAAGTTTTCCTTTTTTTGGTAGCCAAGTAGAGCTCAATTTTCCCTTATATTGTTTGCATTACTAAGAGTATTATTGGTTTTGAGTTATAAAGTTGTTTTGGAAATTCAGAATTTGCTTAACTAATTGTTTTTGTCTTAGGAATACAAAATGATTGGATCCTTTCTTACCAGAGGACTCGCGTATGTTGCCAATTAAGCATACTCTATTTTATCATAATTTCATAAACATTAATTGGTTCAGATGGTATTACAGAAATTTAATTTATCTGATACTTTGTTATGCAGGATGGTTTTTGGTTATGCTTATCCAGCATACGAGTGCTTCAAAACCGTGGAAAAGAATAAACCAGACATTGAGCAACTTCGTTTTTGGTGCCAGTATTGGTATTCTACTTGCTTTGACTTTTGTCGTAAGACTCCTATGTGCAAAACTTTTTATTGGTAAAATGTGTAACATTTGAAAATTTCAGGATCTTAGTTGCTGTTTTGACTGTTGGCGAGAGAATTTGCGATACTTTTATTTCATGGTAAGGAATCCTAACTTGAGTATATGGTAACATTTTTTGTGCTTTGATTTCGTTATTTTGTATCTCCATAGTGATTGTTATCTTATTTTTCCTTGTGAAGGGTTCCAATGTACAGTGAAGCTAAATTGGCATTCTTTATATATCTGTGGTACCCTAAAACAAAAGTATGTATTCTTCCTCTGATTTTATTTTATTTTGTTTAATTAAGAATCTTTCTCAAGATGGCATCTTTACTTTCTCTTTAATTGTTTCAGGGAACAACATATGTTTATGATTCCTTCTTTAGACCATACATTGCAAAGCATGAACCGGAAATTGATCGCAACTTGTTGGAACTGAGGACACGGGCTGGAGACATTGCAGTTTCGTATTGGCAAAGAGCTGCAAGCTATGGTCAGACGAGAATTTTTGAGATTCTGCAATATATTGCTGCACAATCTACACCAATACCCCGTCCTGCACAGGTACATTTTGTGAAGTATAATTAGGGATTGATCATATTATTGTTATAGCACTAATTTTTTAACCTTGTGCTCTGCTTTTCTTATGTCATATTAACCCGTTTAGTTGGTAATTACTATTTCTTCTTATTTTCTGGTCTTCTGGTTTCTGTGCACCATTGAAATCCTCTTTGTTCCCTAAAATGCATAATTTTCTTTCTCTCGTGTATTTTGAAATTGGGATTCATGCACTCATATTTCAATGGAATGATGAATGGGGATGTGGTTCCCTCCTCTCTTGCCCAATAATTTTTGACAGAACCATGTTTGCTGGCTTTTCTGCTTGTTCAATTAAAAATGTGAGCTTTTTGTGTAAGATAAATGTTGTCACACAACAGTCTATAGACCACTATACACTTGCATCTCTCAACTTCCTTTTCAGTGGATCTCAACATTGATTTATATTTCATTAAATAGTTCATGTTATCAATTATCGATAGAAACGTCAGTGTAGCCAAAGTTGTTGTGCTTCGTGTAAAGAAAGCATGCACGAAGAAAAGATTGGTTGGACCTAATCATTGGCAGGAGTAACACGTACTGCTCATGAGACCATATTTGCATTGTAGAAAATTGTTGTTGCAACAACAGTCTGCACCTCTCACCTTTCTTTTTAAAGGAGATCTATAATTGAATGGTGCAACTAAGATTTTGCCATCTTTGTCCCTCCCTTTAATACCATTTTTTTGTGTGGTTACTTTTCAATTACAGCCACAGCAGCAAGGTCCTAGAGCTCGCCAACCCAAACGCAAACCAGCTGCTAAAAAAACACCACCTCCAAATGAAGAGCCATCTTCTCCTGCTTCTAGTGCATCCTCAAGTCAAGATGAACTTGAGGAAGCACAAGAACTGGATAACTCTCAAGTAGCTACTGCAACTCCCCCTTCGACAGCCTTGAATGCACAACAATCAACAACAGTAACTCCCCCATTGGTAGCATTGAATGCACAAAAAGCAAATACTGTAGTTGAACCGCCTGCTGAAACCTCCAACCATTCAAATTCAAAAGAAACAGAAACAATGCAGATTGAATCAGCATCTTCTTCATCAAACAAAAATGGGAACCCTCCCGTGCAAGAGACAGTCATGGAAGAAGCCATTCGGGTTACACGTGGAAGATTGAGGAAATCCCGTTCTACAGCAAATCGTTAAATAATGAAAGGCCTGTTCCTTTCCAGACATAGCTTGCAATATTGGGAGTATTTTAGGTAGTTAGGTTCACAGACAGATATTGGATTATTGTTGTTATGTACATTTGTCGTTTTCTATTCTATTCGTTGCTTTATGTGTTCATGATTTTTTGTTGATGGATTGAAAAAGGTATGAGAGCTTTAACATGGTAGGACCAAAGGAATCAACCTTTAATAATGAAATCACCAGTAAAACATCATCAAGTTAGAGATAGCATGGAGCAACAGGTGAGGCTCTTTTACTAAAAGGTTGAAATTTGGATGGTGCCAATATTTTTTCGGAGAAAATTTTGAATGAATTGTTCAGAAATCCTCTGACATGGATGAATGATTTGATCATGTAGAGTTGTCATATTGTTCATATTGTAGTATGTCATTTACAGAGAGAGTTATTGTGCAATTAGTGGATTACCGTTGCAAACATTTAGTTTTTCAATCTCATGTATCAGTGTGAGAAGAGTTGCCATTTATATCGCCTGACAGACAGTTCTGGTCGATTTAAATGCAATTCCTTAAAAGCACAAAAGCACTGTTCATGCAAATCCAAGGTCTGCAAAACCTAACGTCAAACACACATGCATGGGATCAATGACCCATAGGACTGACTGTACTGACACACAGGCATTGGATCAATGACCCATAGGCCTTGCGATCTCAATAATTGGTCCATAGAAAGCTTTTGCCAAAAGTAAATAAATTATAATGGACAAGACCAGAGGAAAAACAAGGGCAAAAATTATTGATTAGTCACTACTATAATGATAATCAATACAACCAAAAAAAATTACAAAATGTTTTTTTTCTCTTTTAAATCTAGGTGCAAAATTTACATTTTAAAATGAGCCAAACCTTACAGTTATCTCCAACTACCAACTATTTATTTCCATCATCTTCTTTTTTTGAGAACGATTTCCATCTAGTTTATGGGCAATACCAGCTGGCGCTGCTGATAGCTTAACAATACTGTGATGCGCGTTCTAGGATGGACTTGGCAGAAAGCCCATATGCTCGGTCCCATTCCTCATTTGCCGGGAGTAACAAAGGATTATGGGAAAACAAATACGGGTTTTGTAATGGGCAGCAGGGCTTGAATAGTTTGCAGGACCAGGTTCAGAAATTCCAGGAATCAAAATTCACTGCATTACCGGCTAAGGATATTCCATACCCCACAAATCAATGGCGCTTACTTCATGATCTGGCCGGAACCAATAATCATCATCAAGGTTCAGAAATTCCAGGAATCAAAATTCACTGCATTACCGGCTAAGGATATTCCATACCCCACAAATCAATAGCGCTTACTTCATGATCTGGCCGGAACCAATAATCATCATCAACCTGCAGATGGAAGGAAGACCACACGGATAAAGTAGTATGTGAAGAAAGGGGGGTTGGAGGAACAATCAATAATAGCCAACTTAAAGCTTGGAGAATAACTTACATCACAGTCTGATGGAACAATCTTTTGAATCCCAGAAACCTTTGATCCTATTGGGCTCAAAGTATCAGGAGCCATTTTCAGATTATTTTGGTGATCTAAAGACAGATTTGTATGTCGGCCACCACCCGAAGAGCGTGAATCTGTTGAGTTTACCTGCTTGACAGTTACATCCTCATCTTGCCCTCCATTTTTGCTACAAGCAGCATAAACACAGCCATGAGAGAGAGAGAGAGAGAGAGAGAGATTATTTGATACAAATGCATCCATGGGCTATGAACTAATACCTCAGCAGATACAGATCAATTGGCCCTGTGCTGCTTCTAACAACTAGTCTAAACTGCCTTTGTGGGAAACTGATGTCCTACTCACTCATACAAATAAGAGATGAGGTACAAACACATACAACCTCAATTCTTCAACCAACATTTATGCAAAAGTACCCACCTCGTCAGGATCAGGAACTTCAACAGTACTAGCACGCGGAGCTTTTATTGCAATAAGAGTTTTGTTCTGTTAAGATAACAGCATAAAATACACAGTGAACTGAAAGGAGCATCAGATAAAAACACATGATTGAACAAAGTTTCAGGGACGCAAAGGAAAATGAACCTTGAAACAAGGAACACTCATGATATCTTCCTCTGTCAAATAGAGGTACCTGAAGTAGTCCAAGTAAACAATATCAGTTGGCAGCAAATACTACCTTGAAAGGCACACACAAAAAATAAAAAATAAAAAATTGAGCAAAAAGAGCATGTACTTTTGACAATTTTCGTTACATTCCACGGTCCTCAAAAGCTCTAGCTTTTCCCTGAAGAAAAGACCAGATGTTAGCTCGATATTCTAAAGAAGTCAACTACAAGAATACCTCTTTCATGTCCCGGTTAACAACCTTATACAGTCATCAAGCCTGTACTCTTCATCATATAAGCTCTCAACTTCAGCCTGTTATGAGAGAATAAGATGTAAGTCGTTAAAAAATTAAAATAGATAATGAGTGGCTAAAATATTACAATAGATAATGTTATCATAGTATGTTTCATCCACAACGTTGAGAAGCTTGTAGTAACTAAATCCGGGGTCATGTTATGTTAAAAGACCCAGTTACAACCGGTTCAAAACCAACCTAATGGTTTGAACTCTCAACATAACTTCTCTTATTCAACTCCCAAACCTTAATAACTATTCCATGAATTTATCAAGATTCTTCAAAATATGAGATTCAACCTAAGACCGAATCAAAGACAGACCAAAATTAATTGAATAGTAAGATTAAGTAAAGGATTGTAGGATTTTGACAACAATGAATCAATCCATATTTCCATGAATACAGTAGAGGCCAAATGAATGGAAAGTCACTGAAACATGAAAGGAAAACAAGTGGCTGCCTTCTCATCATTTTGTCACATTATATGCACCTTCAATGTAGTAAACTGATCATCCACCTCTCCTGGTGCCATCATTCCAAATCCCCTGTTTAAAAGGTTCACTGGTCATTAGCACAAATGAAATTCATACAAAGTGAAGAAGATTAAAAGTATTACTTCAAGCGTATATGGTTCTTTGCAGTTTTCTCTAACAATCCTATCCCTTCAAGAACATTAGTAATATCATATATTCTTCTCTTTTGGACCTGTAAAACAGATAGAAAAATAAAATAAATAAATCAACTATAGTACATAATATAGAACAAAGGGTGTCAAAATTGCACTCACCCATAGACATAGAAATCTAAAGTTTTTCCCCTTGTTCATTTTTTCCTTTCAGGGATAGATCATGTTAAACACAACCCTTAGAGAAAGTTATACCCCGTTTTTTCTTAAAAAATCTGTCTCCTCTATTTTATATATCACGGGATATTGCATCTCATTCTCATTCAAATGTTCATGAGAAATATCGAACAAGCTAATTTCCTTGGAACCAAAACATTTTTGAGAATTCTACCACAATAATGTTTACATATTAATTCCCCTAAGGGACACCCAGCAGTTCAGGCCACATTCCCCCAATAAAGAGACTCAAGTTCGAACCTCCATAACTTACCTATCAAAGAAATATGTTTACATATTAGGAAAATATTAGAACATACCTCCAACACGTCTGCAGTCTTGTTGAGGTCGAGGGTTCCATCCTTAGCCTCCTGGATCAAACTAATAAATTTCTTCGTTAACAATCCTGCCAGTAACATATTACATCCCTTGAATTTAAAATCTCAATAGCAATTAATAGTTATATAACAAATAATGCATACTGAAATGGAGCTTAAAGGTACAATATCAATTATGCTTACCTAAAGAACTGTCATAACGACAACCACTCACTGCATTCAGACCATCAGGAGGGTCTACAAAAAAGTTCAATCAACAAGAAACTTAATATCCCCAGAAATATAACTTCAACTATTGATAGATATAATATTTGTAAAAATGAATTTGATGAGAATAATATTACCTGCATTTGAACCTTGAGTCCCATGTCTTGCAACCTTTGGTTTACCATAACGCTTACCACCTGTGCAAGTCTCTGGTCCAAGTAAAGTGTTGTTAACAAGATCCGCTTCATTACGCCCTTCTATAGTTGCTAGTCTGCTAGTCTTAGCCTTGCAGTTACCAATTTCATTTGTTTGCTTCAATTACAAAAGAATTTAAGCAATAACAATGCAGATGAGAAATAGGTGAGACAAATATCACAAAGATATAAGGAAATTAACTATCTAAGTAAATGCACCAATATTTGAAGGCAATAATGCCTAATGCAAGTCCGAATCAAACACAATGGCCACTAGGCACTAGCATTTATCATCTGGTTCAGATAATAACCATCCTCCCCTTTCTAGCAGTTCTGAAATAGAGGTCTGTTTTCTTTCTGCTTCCCACGTATAAATAAGCTAAAAAGCTCAAAATAAAAATCCATGGGTTGCTCCCTGTTCAGTTGTTTTCTATCACCAACGCCATCATGTAATAAGTTGATGGTATTAACGCATACTACAAACTTATGGTGCACATTGAAGGTCTTGAGATTTGTGCACACAGAAGTTATGCTCCGGCAAGTTCTTTTATTTGGATTAAACTTCATTGGTCTTTTAAATTTAAAATTTCTTCCAAATTTCAAAATTTTCCTTTTTAATATGAAATTCCCAAAAACCAACAATTTGAAAGTAAAACACTAGTTCAAAAAACATATCAAACAAAATATTGTCAAAAACTTGGGCTGTTACCAGAGCTCTGTCTTGGAAGGAGGTTCTTTCTTAACCTAGCAACCAGCATGAGGCCTTCTAATATAGAAAGATAAAACATATAACTTAACAAAGGAAATACATAATAGGAATCACTAGTCTCCAAAGAAAAAAAAGATTTCAAGTGACAAGTTATTGTTGATAAATTCAAGCAACCTTTCATTTGGAAATGAATGGTGTACCAGAACTTCGGAACTTTTAAACCTCCAATTTCTGCTGCACATATAACAAAATAATTCATATTCTGTTAGAAATTTCAAGTATCAAAAGATGCTAGCAAAGCAAAGAGGAGGTGGATCTCAAAGAACTTAGGAGTGTTTGCATACTCTTCCAAGCATGCATACATTCCTTTCATTCAATTCTACTACTCAACCAACCCTTAAGATAGTTTTCCTATTAAAGTCATCAACCAATAACACATAAAGCATAAGCAAAGCAGAGAGGAATGAGACTTCACATATTCAATATAGATTCCTCTTTACTAGAGTCATATAATTCAGTTATATAATAAAAAATCAACATATCCTAAATTTGCTAGACTTCAATACGACTCCACGTTGAAATTAGAATGTAATGAACAGTTAACACTGGTTCACTTAATGACCTGAACATTCAAATCCTGACCCATTTCAACTACACAGGTCACCAGCAAAATCCAATTAAGCACCCGTTCTTTGACAAAATATCTTCCTTTTTTATCATGATCATTTGCGTTCGATATCTTTGACCAAGAGGATAACTCAAAAAAATCTCACCAACATGAAACTTTTACGTGTCGAAATAAAGGATGCCATAAATGCATTTAATGTTCGCCAATCGCAAAATCAACAACTGAGGCAGCACGTGCTCAATTTTGAAATGGCACAATGAAAACGAGCATAGGCCTACGCACATACAACTTACGGCATTAAGACATGTTTAACTTGCAATTTTTGTCAATACACGTGCAAACTTCAGAGTCCATTTCAAATAATACAATTTCACGAACTAATCTTTGACATGTATAAAATTTCTCATTGAATGCAGCTGCCGCAATGCGTGCACCACACGTGTTCATTTGCAATTTGATTAGCTAAGAAACAAATTACCAAATATCCAACACCTATTTAACGGGGATCATAAAACCATAACTGAAATTCCATATCAAACATATAAGTGGAAAAAAGACACAATCGATCATAAATGCAACCTATATGAATGATCAACAAGTGCACTTAGAAAACCTAATCAAGATGATCATCAAAATCAAAAACAACGGCAAGCAGGGATCAAATACAGATTTCAACCATACATATATAGAAACATACATGAAGAGAATCAGAAGATGAAAGCTCACCGGGAATTTGGAAAAGGCGAAGGATGTATCAGTAGTCTGGAAGTCCGTAGAAGTAGCTGCGGAGGAGGAGGAGGAACGATTGGAGTCATTGGGAGGAGGAATGAAAGCGAAAGGAAGAGGCCTTCGAAAGTGAGAAGGAGGAGGAGGGAAGGAGCGATTCGAAGGAGAAGGAAACGAAGAACGGTGGTTCTGCGAGTGAGAGTGAGAGTGAGATTGCAACTGAATTTGAGATAGGGATTGTTCCAGTGTTCGATTACGATCTTCGTCAGAGATCTCCATGAAAGCGACGAGAGAGAGAGAGAGAGACAGAGAGAGTTTGTTTCAGTGTTGCAGAGAGAGAGAGAGAGAAGCTGAAAAAAATGGGTGGGGATTGGGGAGGTGGGGTGGGGAAGGGTTTCGAGAGTGAAGGGGAGAGATGGTGAGAAAACAGCGGGGAGAGGACAAGGCGGTGAGTTCGAATCCGCAAGTCCCCGCCTTTTGGCTGCTTCTGTTCTGTTCTGCCCCCTTTTTGCACTTTCCCTCTCTCTCTCCCTCGCCTCTTCTCTCTCTTATTAAATTTTATACGTTGCAAATCACTTTAATTAAACAAATAATTATAAATTTATATAGGATTTTGCTACTAAGTATTTTTTAGGGTATAAAAGTAAAAGATAAAAAAATTAAAAAATACAATATATTTTTTGTGAGACGAGGAAAATCCTATCACATGGATTGTAGAGATTCAATAAAGAGATGGGCTTTGCCCCTGTAAATCTGCAAAAATTAATATGGTCGACGCCACCCAACTGGGGTTGCCGACATGAGATATTCCGATAGTGAAGTCAGTCACTAGATTTAAAGAAAAAAGATGAAGAAAATGAAGAGTGTTTGTGTGCTGTATCACCGAAAGAGATGAGGCATACCTTCATTCCATAGGATGGCCTCCCTTTATAGAGGGGGGTTGCAATATTTACTTGATGGGTTCCCTTGTTTGGGCTAGGCCCAATAAATTGGTATATATTTTTTTTCTGCTCCCACAATTGCCCCAAAACTTTATTGTCTGCGGTAGAAGGAATGAGAGTTTTTCTTGCAGAGTTACTCTATTCAAATAAATGTTAGGTCTCTTGACAAAGAATATAGTTGATAAATAAATAACATGAATACAGTTGATAAATGGATAACATAAATGAATGAATGAATGACTGGATGAATGTATGTACAAATATATGTGGCACATTCAATAATGCACGACACGATGGGACCATATAGGTCTAACATAAAGATCCCTTAGGTCTACATCCAATATCTCTGCAACGATGGGCCACGGTATTGTTACTCTCGGGCAAGGGCCGTACGCCGTGGTATTATGACCGCCGGGCGAGGGTGTAGGCCACGATATTTATGACCCCTGGGTGAGGGTGTAGTATATTGCCAAGTGCGAAGAGCGCTTCAAAATATGGACTTCCATGTCGAGCTAGAGATATTTTTATGTGCCAAACACGAAAATGATTGCCTGAACCAAATAATGTAGATTAAATAAATCTATATAGTGGCCAAAAAATGGACCACGGTATTATTACCCCCAGGCGAGGGTTTAGACCTGTAGTATTATAACCCCCGGGCATTGGTGTAGGCCGCAGTATTCTAAACCCCAGGCATGGGTGTAGGCCTTTTGCTGATGATGCTTCGTGCCGAGTGCAAAGTTTACGCTATACTCGAAGAATTTTGCTGATTTTAAGTGGCGATCAAGTGCCAATATTGCAAGGATTTTGAATGGTGCATCTTGTCAGTGATGGCCTATTTAATTGCCAAGTAAATGTTGGGCCAATTAGCAATTGGCCGATTTACATTTTGCATTTAGTCCAATGTAGACTTGCTCCATTGCTTTCGAATGACAGGTGTTAGTCAGAAGGAATGTAGATTGGACTGGCCCCACTGCCCTATGGTGCGAGGCAGAGTCGGCTCTAGGAAAATGACGGTGCGCGAAAATATGCAAACTGTCGACTGCCAAGTGTGTAATATATTGCCCCAAAACTGCCGCTTGCTTGGAGTGGTGTGAAAAGGAACGAAAGTTTGTAACTCCAGTAAATTTTGTTGTAATGTTTGTACCAAGTTGGCCGAGTATAGTAGAGGTGCCGAGATTTTGATCAGTTGAGATGCCCCAATAGGAAAGCAGAAAAATAAAATGGCCAAGGTAACGAAATGGCTAATTGAGCAAGACGGAGGATTATTTCCTAGCCCCAAGATCCTGCTGCTAAAATTTCACGCCGATCGGATATGATTTGACCGTTGATTTTGCATTTGATGGTCCCGATTGGCTGATGTATTGATCGCAATATGCGACTCAGAATTTGCAAAATTAAGCTGCTCGGATGTGTTCAAAAGGCTCAAAATAGCTGGAAACAAATATTGGATCATTGGAATCGGACTTCTAATGGCATAGTGGTAGCCAAAATAAAATTGACGGCTCAGATCGATTGAGAATGGTGTGCTGCGAAGCACTGGATAATTGCTCCTATATTAGTGAGTTAGACGGCTTGGCTTGGTGGCTTAGCAAAAATTAAAAAGAAAGTTGTTGCTGGTTAGAATTGAACTCTTATTCTTAGAGTGAAAGCATAATTCTAAACCACTTTGCCATGACATTTGAATAAAATTTGTAATTTTTTTTTTTTTGTGGAGTTGAATTTACAAATTCTGACTATACGGATGGGCCCAGAATACGTCAAATAGCTGGAGAGGGCTATCGGATCGTTGTAATGAGAGTCCAGATGGCTTAGATTTCACTAAAATAAAATGAATGGTTCAGATCAACCAATTACAATGTAACTGCAAAGTACATGATGATTTCCCAGTTGCTTGTTGGTTCTTCTTCTTCGACAAAATATTGAATTTTCTGGGCAAAGTTGGACAGGGCTGTACGCCTTCGTTTTAGCACCAATTTTGACGTGGTTTGTTGCGTTGGATTCGTCTCGATGAGTACTTCACATTGGGATGATCAAAACTTGATTTCGACAACTTCAAAAATTTTAGTGTTCGGAAAATGTGGGCCGTTTCGCAGCTATTAGCGAACTTTGGTTACTTATTCGCTCATCGGGTTGGTGGGTTTGGACTCTTTGAGTTGACACGAATCCGCTAGTATTATTAGATGTGGATTTCGGCAAGCTAATATGCTTGTATTATGCCAAGATATTAGTGCCGAGGCATTGTGTTGCCGAATATGTCTAATGCTTTGAAGTGGAGGTATGTGGCCGAGTAGTCTTGCCGAATAAGCAATGTTAGCCGAATAAGCGATGTCACCGAAGTGCGGGTTCCCAAGCTGGTTAGAACAATATATAGTGGTGGAGAGGTGCCAATGTATTGAAACTCTTGATTGGATTGAAACTTGGCGAGTGATTAGCTGACGATCAATTCGCCACAAGGTCTTATGTGTTCAGCGCATAACTCCTAGATCACCCCAAGCAAGAGTTTCCAACCACTTTTTGTTACTTACCGAGAACTGTTCTTGGAGGAGCAAGCCCCAACTATTGGTGCTGATTGACACTCCTCTTGGCTTGCCGAAACACTAGTCGGCATCTCTTAGCTTGCCGAAACAATTGGTCGGCAGTTCGTAAATTCTGCTCTTTGATTGCAGTTGGTTGGTTATCCGAGAAATGGTGGAGTACTGCAATCTATATTTTAATTAAATTGAAGGTTATAAGCATACATGTATATAGAAATCATATTGAACACAATAATTATTCAAAGAGAAAAGAATAGAGGTTCCACTTAGCAACTTGTGTTCGCATAATCTCAAGAAGTAAACTACTTAAAAGTAAATTGAACCAAAGAGAGAAAGAAATTACTAGATCAAAACATTAGCCGAATAATCCAAATGTATGCGGAACAACATATGCATCACTAAACTTGGCCTCCTAACCATGGAAATATTAATAGCTCTGCAAACTTAGTCAGGACCATATCTTAAATATGGAGTTTCTAATTAGCTCTATATAAAGCCGATCAAAATATTACCATAAATTACTATAATAACTCATGGTCAAACTTTGCCAATAACTCTTGGGGACAAATTTTTCTAGAGAGAGAGGGTGAAGACCCAGCCATGGGTTTAATGGTAATATCCAGTTCTCGAGCCAAACACGTCGTCAAGCTATCCATGACATGTTGGACGTAAACATATAAATGCAAGTCAATATTAATATTTATGTAAATATTTATGATCTTGTAATAAATATTATTTTTATACTCATGATTGGCAAGTCGGCAACGTCATTGGCTCGCCGACTTCTGTGGTACCGCTTGGTCTTTTATCTTGCCATTTGCTGAAATGCTTGATCAGCAATTGATTATGTGATTAACCCTTCATAACTTTCTTTTTTCCATTGCTTGCCTAACCTCAAGCAACTTGCCGCAATGGGTAGCCAAGTTGCCAAAATGTTCCCTGCAATTTTTCTCTACAAACTGAAATGAACACCTAAAAAAGAAATGGCCACAAGGATCAAGGTGATAAATAAATTTATATGCAAAGACTACAAACATGAGTTAATCGTTGATGTTGCAGAGCAAAAAATAAAAGAAATCCAGGAGTTGGGTCCTGTCCCACTGGGTTTGTCTTGCCGAGACATTTGGAAGGAAAATCGCCTTGGTTGACATGTTGAAGCACTTGGTCGGCACGACTCCACCTTTGCCCATAATAGCACTAGAGAGAGCCGTGGTCGGCCTATAACACCTTGTTTGTGAGCCGAACAAACAAGTCTGATGCATATGCAAATATTTGTATCCATGTATGTATATATATATATATAAATGTATCTTTGCAAATGTAGAGATAGCTTTCAGAAATGAGATTTAGAATAACAAGAAGCTGATGAACAACCCAATAAAGAGTTACTGTTGCTAAGTTGGTTGATAGACAAGCCAAATAAAGTGTCGAATTAAATGAGCCTTTCAGTTTTAACAGTTTATTCCGATCTTATTTCGATCTCGCTGAAAAGATAGTGGTGCCGAATATCCTGATTAATAAATCAGCCGTTTGGATGCTTCCACTATATATATACATATATATTTTTTCTTTTTGGCAACCTACGCTAGTGTGCTGGCCAAAAAAACTTTTAGAAAGAGAAAGTAAAGACCTAACTGTGGATTCCACAAAAATTGCTAATATAGACATATATATATCTCAAGAATTAATTATAAAATAAACTCTTTTGAGGCAAAAACTAAATAAACAATCTTGGGGATAGGTTTGGCTGAGAAACCCTTTTGATAATGCCTAAAAGAAGCTCTCACAAACATAATCTGAAACCCATTTTTAGAGAGAGCAAATGAAGATGCAAAAGTAAATCCATGAACACTGTTTTATTATAACACTTTTCATCAAGATTTACCATGAAAAAAAAAAAGAGATTCCATGGAGTTTGTCAGTACACACAGATATATATATATACAATTCAAGAATCGATTTTACAGTAATTTTATAATAAATTTCATCAGAGAGAAAATTCAAAGCTTAGTTGTGGCTCGTGATAACCATCAAAGTGTTGTAGAATGTTTACTTACAGTAACATGTTTGTTGTATTCTTCGTTAATCTCATTCAGTTGTTCCTATTTACGGCGCCAATTGTGAGACCAGAAAAATCCTCTCACATGAATTATAGAAATCTAATGAAGAGATGAGATTTGCCCCTGTAAATCTACAAAAATGAATATAGTCGGCGCCACCCAACCGGGGTTACCGGTCAGAGACACTCCGATGGTGAAGTCAGTCACTAGATTCAGAGAAAGAAGAAGAAAATGAAGAATGTTTGAGGGCTATATCACCGAGAGAGATGAGGCATACCTTCATTCCATATGATGCCCTCCTTTTATAGAGGGGGGTGTGATATTTACTTGATGGGCTCCCTTGTTTGGGCTGGGCCCAATAAGTTGGTATATATTTTTTTTCTACTCTCACATTTTTTTATAAGGTTTGATGCATTTTTACTAAAATTAATATTTTTTTAAAATATCTTTATATATTTGCAAAATATATTTTATATATCTTTTAATATTAAACAATATTTGCAAAACACTTGCTAACATTTTTCATTTATAAAAGTGTATATACATAATCTCTCATGTTTTTCATTACAATATATAATGCCTAGAAAGACCTGGAGGACATTTCATGTCCAAGTTTGACATTGAATTTTTAGGTTCCTGTAGGCTGCCTAGAAAAACATGGAAAACATATTCATCCCAATCACACGTAATAAAAATTCAATATCAAGCTTGGGCATGCACATTCAGTTTCACCAGTCATGATTTATTTTCATTTTATAGTGTTAGGTTTGATTTGTTTGGAATTGTGGAGTATGGTCTGTTAAATATATTTTTATAACTGCATTTTAATCTTAATATTATTTACACCGTGTCTTTAGGCACGGGCATACGCTAGTTAGTATATAAATAAATTAAATTTAAAATATTTTTAAATACATTAAAATTTTAAATTCACTTATATGATTATTTGTTTTGATGTTTAGCCTTTCGTTTGGGATATGGGTTAATTTTTTAACTATTTTAATCTTGGACTAAAAAGTATCATTTGAGATGCACTTTTTAGCTTTTTTGATTTTTGTAAGAGAAAAAATGTAATTATTATGATTTGGATATGATTTTTTATCTTATTGACTTTTTAGCCTATTTTGTCTTTTTGTGACTAAAATAACCAAAAAAGCCCATGCCAAACATAGACTTTAACCTCGTTTGGGAACATGCTATTTTAAGATTCATTTGGGATGTGAGTTGATTTTTTGGCTATTTTAGTTTGGGTCTAAAAAGTCTTGTTTGTTTTTGACTTTTTAACTTTTTTGACTTTTGTAAGAGAAAAAATGAAATGATTATGGTTTGAATGTGACATTTTTTGAGTGTTTGGGAAATTGCTATTTTAATTTTTGGCTATTTTAGTAAGCTAAAACTTTTGTATTTGGAAAAGTGATTGAATTTTTTTGTAATTTGATGTGATGGTTGTGAAAGAAAAAGTGAAATGATTATGAGTTTGTAATGACATTTTGTCTTATTAGCTATTTTAGTTTGTTTTATTTTTTTTGTGAATTTTAGCCTAAATTGGGCTAAAATCCCACTTTCCAAACAGTTATTAGGCTAAAAATTTATTGTCTTTTTATGACTATTTTAGAAAAAAAAAAAACCCTCATTTAGCTTATTTAAATGATTTTTTTTTTTTTTTTTTTGGCTTGAATGAGAGTTATAGATGATTTTTTTAATTATTTAAAATCAAAAAATTAAAAAATTTAGTTTGAAATATTAAAACTCCCACAAGACTTGTGGTTACAAACCCCATTTTACTTATCTATACTTCTATACTATATATTAAGCAAAATGGGGTTTTTAACCCCAAGTCTTGTGGGAGCTCCAATCTCCCAATATAAATTTCTTGATTTTTTGATTTAAAAAAAGACACTTAACATTTGTTAACTTCTCCCAACCCCCAAGTCTTACCCTCATAATAACACTTTAATGCATTAAGAACAAATATAAAAAAAAATCTTTGATATCCAACACATATGAATTTCTTGAAAAGTTCCAACACATATAATTATTATCCCTTATAATAACACTTTAATGCATTAAAAACAAGCATAAAAAAAATTTCTTGAAAAGTCCAACACATATGATTACT